GTAGTCCCACAGATTAAATATATTTAATTATGAGTAATTGGGTTACAAGATATCTTATTTAAAAAGTCATGGGAGAAAATGTGTAGATATATGTTGGCATGTGTGAGCTAGTGTGCATTATCATATTGTCTTATTTTCAGTTTAATTATAAAATTTAATCTATATTTCTCAATGTCTGGAGATTTCATCAAGGCATGACCCTGTGTGTGTGTGTGTATGCGCAGATGTGTGCATGTGTAGAGGGTTTTTTTCCCCTCCTGCTGTGACACTCCAGCTTGAGAAGTTGCCAGCCAGGGAAGTGTGCCTGATACCATTATCATTTTGGTGACAAAAAATAACATTTCTTTTATTTGCTGGAAATTTAGGGAATGCGTTTCTTTTTTTGTTACATTTCATCAATCCCATTTATTTAAAATAACATTTGCCTGCTCGTGAATATGCTCAATAAAACCAGGTTGTTTCCACCTGCAAACTTGCAATCTAAAAGTTTTGTAGCCTAAATGAGAGAGAAAGGAACAGAAGCATTAAAGGGAAAAAGAAAATAAAGCCATTTTTAAATAGTAGACAAAGAGGTAGTGCAGAGAGAAATGAAGCTGGCTTTTCGGTGCGGGAGGGGGGAAGATGATTGAATGGCTCTCCTTGCCATGTCTCCCTGCTGCAGCCTGAAATTGATATTATATCCTTTCAGCTGCTCATTGGAAAAGCAAAATGCTTTCAAGGGTCAGTATTCTTGTTATGCCTAATTACAGCTAATCGACAAGATGCCTGGGTATGTCTTGGTCATATGCCTAACAGTACAGTCAAGTTGCATCCTGAGACCTAGTCAGGATGTGACTAGACACCCAAATTATCCCAGCCTGGATTGGGTTGGATCAGGTTTTGTCTCCTTCTGTCTCTTCTTTCATGGCTTGCTTAAGCCACTTGAAATTTCCTCCTGCTCCCCTGTGGAATATGGGGGGAGGACAGGAAGCTTTTATGGTGCCTGGGGGGGGGAACTAAGTAGCATGTCTGATGAGCCCCGCCTTAGGCCACTAATTTTCATTTTTCTTTCCTTTTTGCTTCCTGCATGGGGGAGCAGAAGGAAGCTTTCCATTTCCCAATAACAAAATGACACATTAAGCCACCCACTTTGGCTTTGGGTTTGGATCCCCTGGATAACACACTCTGGAACCCTTACTGTGC